GAGGCAGCCTTTGTTACATGAGGTAAGATGGGGCTCTGCTGAGGCAGCCTTTGTTACATGAGGTAAGGCAGGGCTCTGCTGAGGCAGCCTTTGTTACATGAGGTAAGACGGGGCTCTGCTGAGGCAGCCTTTGTTACATAAGGGAGGGTGGAGCTAGTCAACCAGTAAACATTATTTACCATGGGCCTCGGACATAAATGTGAACAGACGATAGAACCTAAGTCGACGGATACCTGTAATGTAGAGTTAGAGGTAGAATGTAATAAAGTGAACTCATTTTTTCACAGCTTGCAAGATGGTGGGATCAATCAATTGGCTCAGTGAACAAGGATACTGATCTTAAATGGCTGAACTCCTGTCCAGTGTGGAGAATGTTCTTCTCTGTTCTTCTCTATGCTGTTTGCGTCTCTAGAGAGGGCATGTCCTGGTTAATCAGTAATTAGGAGGACAGAGATGATAATTAAGATTATTATACATTGACAGCCGGGTTTAGTCAAGTCAAGTCAAGTCAGTTAGGTTTACTGTCATTTCAGCCATATAGACGGTACACAGTGACACGGAACATTGTTCCTCCAGGACCAAGGTGCAACACAAAGAACATAAACAGAGAACACAAGACAACATAAGTGCAGGCAGGACAGAACTTTACAGAGTCCAATGAGAGTAAAGAGAGAGTGCGAGATAAACAATAAACACAAGAGCAACAATACAATGTTACAGGACGAGACAACCTGCAGTGCAGCAGACAAAAGCAGGAGGACTAGGGTGAATGAATGGCGTATTATAACAGATACTGTATTCTAGCACTTCCTGGTTAGCTAGTTTGTTGCTTTTCTGTAATTGGTTCAAACATCTTTAGGCTAATTCTGCTTTTAGGACCCAGGGGCTCAAATTGAACTAGGGATGCAAATTCAGGGAATTTTCTGAGGAGAGATCTTTCCAAGGGAATTCTTTGGAATTATTAGAGAATTTATATTGTTGTCAAACATACACAATAAGTACACTAATAAAAACGAGAGAGATTTTGAAGTCATTTAGTAGGTACCCCACTGGCTGCGGGAAACTGTAAAAACTGATCTGAAACACTTCAGATTCAGCTTCTCACCCATCCCTTTCCAAACCTACACTGGCACCAGGGGTCTAAGTTTAATTCCATTTCAGTTCCTCTTCTCACCTCTCAGATCTTCTCTATTCTTAGTACCAGGCAAGAGTTTGCAACATAGAAGTGATACGAACCACATTTCCAGAAAAGTCGGTACACTTTCTAAAAATGCAATAAAATCTGTAACTTGGTATTTCACTTGAACCTCTGTCTAACAGGCAAAAGGACAAAGAAAGATTTTTAGTGTTTTCACAGATACTTAATGACTGTACAAATGACAAAAGTGTGGCTCCGTAGACATAGAGTCTGTGCTTGACTGGCCTGCCTGCAGCCCAGATCTGTCCCCTGTTGAAAATGTCTGAGGGGAATCAGACAACGGCGACCATGGACTGCTGGGCACCTCAAGTCTTGTATACAGCAAGAATGGGCAAAAAATTCACTTGCAAAACAGCAACAATTAGTTTCTTCAGTTACCAAACGATTGAGAAGCGTAATAAAAAGAAAAGGGGATGTGAGCCCGGGGGGCACTTGCCTCTGTCGCGACTCTTTTGGAGCGTGTTTCAGGCATCAATTTCTAAATGTTTGACAACATATGTTTAACAAATAGAATTAAGTTTGTCTTTTATTTGTCCTTTTGCCTGTTAAATGAAGGTTAAAGTAAAATACCAAATACACATTTTAGTTTTTATTGCATTTTTAGAAAGTATCCCAACTTTTCTGGAAATGGGGTTTGTACATACAGTATGGTGAGTTTTCCATAGACCTGTGGAAGTGAGTAAATTTTTCCCCGCTTTCTCTCTGTCAGGTGCAACCTGCCGCCGCTGTCTAAGGAGTACACTGACGATGTCGGGACCAAAACACACTTGGTGTCTGCGAATCCCAGCATCATCGAAAAAAGGTACTGGGTCCTTCTCAGCCGTTTGAGCAGACAGACTCTGCGAGTTTGGATGCATTAGAGGACACTGGAGTGTCCATCTCCATTTGTTATTTTTTACAGGGCCTTTTATTAGTTTTTGAGAAGGCAAGTTCCAGGAAAAACTTGGGGTTAGGGGCTTTGCTCAAGGGCACAACGGCAAAATGCCGACCATGGGATTTAAACCAGCGACCTTCCGATCACAGGTGCGAAATCCCAGCCTGCTGACTCACAGACGTCTCAAACCCGAACGATGTTGGACAGCTATTGCCCAAAAAAGGTGGTGAATGCTGACCTTGGAAAGAATGATGTCTGTGATGGGGGGGGGGGTTCATGGTAGCCAGCAAAGCCAACATTCATATAAGGGTTGTGAGACAGAATGGGACAGCCCTAGTGAGAGAACAGAGTAATCGTGGCAGACCTAGAGGTCCTCTGAGCTGCTTGTTGACCTGACCTGCTGGAGGCCTTACTGCCCCCCCCCCATACCTCTTTGAAGGTTCATCACAGACAGATGACTTGCACTGTGAGGTGAAACGCTGGTGAAAGCATGGACATCTAATACTCAGATTTTTTTGGTGTCTAAAAAGGCAGTTATTAAAATAATTCAGTGTAGTTCTGTGTTTTTGTAGAGTTTTTTTTTTCCTCCTCTGGCACTGTAAAGCATGACTGTTAATTCTCTGGATTAAAATTGAGCCCTGATCTGCTTTATTTAGCTGATCTTCTTGAATAATAGTTCTTCAGAACTGGAACTGAAGGCCTCAGCCTTTGAGGAAACCTGTCACATTTATTTTTTCTGGATAAGTTGATCTCTACGGTTCGGTATGCCTGGCTATTCAGATATAAATCTTTGATTTGGTTTGTAATCTTTCAATGTAATTGAATTCCTCTGAGCAAACGAATTTCCATTAATGAGAAAGATGTAGGTGGAGATACTGGCATCCTTACAAAGCTGCTTCTGCGTTTCCTGTTTGTGGCCTGCAGGTTTCAGAACCTCCTGTGGTCCAGGAGATCCTTTGTGGAGAGCATGAAGGCTTATGGCTCCAGCTACATCTACATGCCGGCCTTCTCCATGAAACCAGGGACGGACCCATCCCTTCGGGTTAGCTACGCCCTGTCCGACAGTGGCTCCAACCAGACGCTGCTCTTTGCCAATCCAGACTTCCTGAGGAGCGTGGACAGGTTCTGGAAGGCCCGTGGCATCCATGCCAAGCGTCTCTCCACAGGCCTCTTTCTTGTGAGCCTGGCGCTGGGACTCTGTGAGGAGGTCACAGCCTATGGCTTCTGGCCCTTCTCCGTGGGCCTGGATGAGGGCTTCATAAGCCACCACTACTATGACAACGTCCTGCCCTTCTCCGGCTTCCATGCCATGCCTGAGGAGTTCCTGCGGCTGTGGCAACTCCATAAGGGTGGCGTCCTGCGCATGCGCGTCAGCAGATGCCCGTCGGAAGCTGGGTAGTCCCTCACTGGCCCACCGTCACCAGCATGCGAACATTCGTCTGGGCTCCCTCCGTACTTGCCTCTGCATGCCTCCCCTTCCCTAACGTTTGATGTTTTTAGCTGGCAGAGATGCCTGTTTGGAGTCATGGATCCTGAAAATGTCGCAGACGTCGATCTGGGTCGGCAGGACATGGGGGAAGGAGGGGGAAGGAGAAAACCAGAGGAGAGAACAAAATGAACAAGTCAGTGAGGTCAGCACTGCAGCTGCTCAACCAGAATCACAGGGGGAGAGGGAAGTGCTGGCGATTAATGGCAAGGATTATCACAGTTCATGAAGCAAGACTTCAGTGTGGAACCAGCAGTCCAGACATGAGAACTGAGCATTAATACTTCTCTCTATTTCCTTTGATGTTTCCAAACTCGCTACTCAATTGACGTCGTTTTAGCTATAGGGTAACCTAACCTGCTAACGAAAAAATAAATATATCTTGGTGTCATAATACATCAACGTAATAAGAAGCTTGTGGGTGACAGAGAAGGACCCCATACCAGTGTTTGGGAAAAGACATGTGGAACAATCAAGAATCCTAAATCAACAATTTGGTTTGTCCTCAGTGAAAATGACGGGATGCCATGAGAGGCAGCTCAGCTGATGGCAGGAGTGGGTTCTGGGAGAGCCCGGTTCTCCATGGGTCCTTCCTTTTGGGAAGAACAATTTACAAAGGACACGCAAGAGTTCATGGTGAGGCTGCACTGAGGCCATTTTGACAGTGTTAAAATCCACCCCCCAAGTCACATTAAACTGCGATAATGAGCACTTTATGGTACAAACATGTGGGGAAATTCATACATTACAATCTTTGTTCTATGGAACTAGCGATGTCAGCTACCTCCTGAACTGGAGAAATGGTTGGAAGATGGATGGAAGGGTGGATAGGTGGATGGATGGATGGGTGGATGGATGGATGGGTGGATGGATGGTTGGAAGGCAGTGCGAGAAACGCGAATGGTTTCTAACAGTGTTTTCATTTGCCTTTGATGCTGTACGATTGGCTCCACTCGGGGGCCCATAATGCACTGCTTTGTTAGTTTACATCATCTCCCAGAAAGGTCCCCACTTCGTGCTTGTTGTCCTGTTCCATCGAGGTGCCGGTTGAATGTGCTCTGAAGGCTTTAAGAGTGCCTTGTCCTTATTAGCTGGACATAACAGAAGGAGCAAGAAAAAATTAATTTTGTATTTCAGTGAGCGATACCTTCAGAAACACTGCAGTGTGTCAGAAACACCCGTTAATAATGAAGTGTGTATTTGGGGACATACGATCTCCCCGCTTAGGGTGATGAGGTGACTTAACCTACAGCCATATCTGTATTCTAAGTTGGTCAGCTGGTCGTTCTGGGAGTTTCAGATCCTGAGGATTTTACTCCTTATCGTCCTAAATTTCCTGCCTACTTTTCTGAATGTCATTCTGTATTTAGAGGAGATGCAATTTAACCCAGTTTATTGGCACTATAAGTTTTTTGTGACACATTAAGCCAGAGAAGTAGAATAATGGATTTTTTATGTCTTCATGACTGTTGGATAGCTTTTGTCTGCACTGTGTATTTAATGCAATTAACCTTTCATGCTGGTACCATAGTGTTTCAATAGGTCTCGAATTGACAGTATTGACGTTACATTGATGGTAAATGCTGAAGAAGCCATTTCACCTGAAAATGATGAAAATGTCAGATTTAGTTTTCTCTGTTTCCCGTCAACCAGGAAACACCTTTTTACTGGCTGTTTATCTCTGGGGGATTACAGTCAGAGCTGGCCGATGTTTGTCAGTGAAAACCACCGAAAAACAAGATCTAACAGATCTTTTCTTTTTAAATGTAACGTGAATGTGATCACTGAACAGTTTCTAAATGTAAATATAGCCTAAATGAAGATGTGGCACTATATCGACTAGCATCCCAGCCGGAAATGACGTTTGGTTTGTGCCGCATGCTGATTTGTTGACATTGTAGTCTTCAGGGAACCAGCCAATCAGGTCAAGGTTGGCAAAGTAAGCAAGGGCGTGACCAATCACGTCACAGCTGACCATGTCTCTGCATTACCTATAGAGTAGAAAAGTGAGTTTTGTGTATGAAAAGCTGTTTGTGTTTTGATGTTCACTTGTACCACAGTTACCCTTTGTATAGTGGTACCTTTTTGCCATGGGAGCCCTGCACCGCGGTATCTGCCACCGCTTCACAGTGGTGGGGCAAGAGTGAGGGCTGGGGGGGGTCGGGGGGTGGTAATTATTCCTACAGGATGAATAGTTGAAGTGCTTTGGGTCAATAACTGCCCATCAGTGTCGTCCACCTGAATCACTCTAAGGCAGCTCTGCTCTTTGGCTAATAACGTCACTTTTTGGGGTAACTTAATGTTCTGCCCCATAAAACCCTCTTCAGCGTGGGATGCTGGTCTGAGTCGGCCAGCCTGGCCCTGTAGCCTTGTACGTGTTTCTGTTTCCTGCACTGAGTGGACAAGCAGCCGTCCGTCCCTGACAGCTGCCAATATATTTTGATTTTTTTAAAGCTGTTATTGTTTCACCTGTAACTCTTCTCCTCTCCGCCAGGAACACAATCGGTGCTTTAATTTTATGAAAGAAATTTGGTTTCAGTTTAAGGAGCATATTACATATTTACAAAAATATTTTTTAATTGTGTAAAGCGTATTTTTTTATATTTTCAGAGAGGGTTGTTTTTGTATAATTGTGTGTGTGGCGAAATGCAAATGTTGGCAGATTTTTCTCTTTAATGTCTGGTTTCAGCCTCAAAATAAAACAGAAACTTCAACAAATTCTCATGTACAATAAAGCTACAAAGCTACCTCTTCCAGTTAATGTAATGAGCTTTTCTTTGTACCAGCTAGCGTTCGAGCAGCTGTGGCGTAACACGCCTGTGATCTCACTGGTCAGTTCGCTTTCATGTCTAATAGTGATGTAATGTTGCACTCAGCTCACGATTTGATACACTTCACAAAATTTCAAACAAATGTAGATGTCTTGGGCCCACCTCCTCTACAGTCTGATTGGTTATCTATCTGAACCAATCATTTTTCGTTCTGCCCTCAGAACATTTTTGAGTAAGTAAAACCGCAGCACAACATAGACTGACAGTGGAGCAGTCATCCCAAATCTCTTCCTCTGTCCGAATTCCTTCCCCTGTGACGTATCGCTTGGCTATGAGGCTGATGATGCAGTCATGATGATCAGCGAAACAGCTAAGCAATATGCCGCAGGGGGAAGCAATTTGGACAGAGGAAAAGGTTTGGCATGACATGACAGCTTAATTGGCAATTAAAGCACTTGAAAAAAAACACAGTTGGCAACACAGCTTAAATACTGCGATGGATATCAAAACATAATTGAATCGAGAAAATTCCGGGCACAAAATATCGTTACGCCCCTAATGTCTAACATCTTTCCTGGTTCTCATAACTACGTTTGGCAACACAAGGAAATGTACCAATCAGGCAGTGAAGTGACCAAGAAACTGACCAATTCCCCTTCAAAGCGAACAATGAGTTTTGAGTATTTAAAAGTTTAAAAATGGCAAATGTATCACTTACCACTTATTTAAAAGGTTTTGGAAAAAGTCATTTATTTATTAGCAGAAATTTATGTGAAATTGTTTTTTTTATTTTTGAACCTGTCCCCACTTTGTGTATGTTTAATTGGTACCTACAAGCACATAGTGTCGTGTTAATTTGGGGTTTCTTCTGTTACGGTATGGAGTCGTAAACCTGGCTGATATTCCTACACCAGGACACTGAAGCTGCACCCCCCCGTGTCAGAAAACACCAGCAGTGGTGTTCTGGCACTGACCCCCCCTAACCCGATTGCCTTCTGCATTCTTACAGTGTCCTGCTCAAGTTCCCCGATTGTGAGTCTCAATAAACTGGCAAAATGGCTTGTGGCTTGTCGTGTGTTTTGTGGCTCGCTGGCGTCCCCAGGAGGGCAGCCGAGGGAACGCGGTTACGGGAGTGGGCGGCTCCCTCGTGTCTGCTGTCACTTCCGCTCAGTCCCTCCATCTGGGGCTCGTCCCACTAGGGTCACCGATGACACAGACCGCCTTTGTACTTAGTTTTTTCTAACGATTATAGCATCTGCATATGTCACTGCAGTAATACACTTGAGTGGTGACACCAGCCTTGTTTTTCGCAGGACTGCATCTCTGTGGACTTCCGAGCGGGAGACGCCGGGTGGGTCACACGCTGCCTGTCTGGGCGGCTCAATCAGAAATGCCGCTACTATGAATAATTGAGCCTGAGTGGTTGCTATGAGATGTCAGTTCATTTGTCTCTATTCCACTGCCGTGTAAATTTAATGTTGGAGCACAAGGATCCTGCCGGCAGGAACATGTACTTTCTCTGATGGTTTTATTGACAGTGTACCTGGCTTAGGGGAAGCCTCTCTTACGGCAGGAAGGGTCCCGTCCACGACCCTCTGATGCGGTAGCCTTGCTTTTTCTGGCCCGCTTTCTGGCTCTCTCGCTGTTGGCCAATGGGGTGAGGAAGGGGTGTCGTCACGGTAACAGAAGAATCTCAGGGAGGATGTAGGAGAGCAGCCTGAGCTGGGGGAAGACCGAAGGCTTCTTTGGTAACGACACCTTCAGGATCAGAGGGGTGCGAGGACACGGCAGCGCGGCCAGGCAGATGCCCGCTGCCCCTTCATGGAGGGTGGTGTCCAGGGCTGTGACCGCGTGGGTACGAGGCACCTGTAACATGCTGTGGGTCAGACTGGGGAGTCATTCTGCTGACCATGGCACACACACATGTGCTCTCAAACACACTCACATGCACATGCTCACATATGCACACACACGCACATGTAGGGTAAACATATCCTTATGGGGACCGCTCATTCATTTCAATGGGGAAAAATGCTAACGCTAACTATGACAACCTTAACCCCTACCCTGCCCTAACCATAACCATAAGTAACCTAACAAAATACAAGAGTTTTTGCATTTTTAGTTTTTTCATAGCAGTCACCAATTTTTATAAAATAGAGTTTTCCCTTATGGGGACCAGGAAACCGGTCAACATAAGGGAAAAAAAATGGATATTTATCACGTTATGGGGACATTGTGTCCTCATAAGGATAGGTATACCTGCTCGCTCACACATGCACACACTCACACACACACATACACGCTCACACAGGGACATGCACACACATACTCACACACACATGCTCGCACACGCATACACACGCTGCAGTGGAATCAGCAGGGAGCGTGTGCCGTCTCCAGCCGTACGGCCCCCTCAACAAGTCCTCACATCTATCAGCTGTCAGATTAATTACAGTGCCAACGATGTTCTTGGTGAGCAGCTGAGCTGTGAAAGCAGAAGGTTTATTGATCAGAGGTCTGAGGAGACTGTCATCAGCAGCCCGCTCTGCATGACAGATAAGGTGGCTTCTTCGGGAGGGGTTCAGAGCTCCTCAACCCAACAGATATTGAGCAACAGCCCCCCCCCCCCCCCCATGTTGGGGTCAATTCTCGTCATATCCCACCTGTTCATCGCCCACATAGCCAGCCTGAAACTGCAGGCCCTGTGGGGACAGGCTGAGGTTATTAACTGCTCAGATGCATGTAGGACAGTCACGCAGACGTTAGACAGGACTGTCAGCGCATGTGACGATACCAGGCATGGTCCTCCATGAATGCCGGCGATTCTCTTCGTCTCCATGGTGATGTTAACAAGTTAACAGGTAATGCTGCCTTTATTAGTTAATTAAGACCAGCTCACTTACATTTCAGCCTGTCAAACACATTAGCGTGTTGCAGTAATCAGGCTGTCTGACCTGAGAGTACAGGCTTTCGGTGTGAATGCTTAGCAGTGATCTAGCTCACAGTCCCTCAGCCGCTTACCTTCGTGGGGCCGTGGTTCTAGATTAGGTAAACATGGTTTGGTACGTGATAGAACACCCAGAAAAAACTGCATACCTCCCCCCCCACCACCACCCTGGTTGGCAAACCCTCCCCCCCCATCCCACACAGTTGGCTGCAGACACTTTGTAATGGTCAGTAGTCAGGTCTTGTGCTTGGACAGGTGGAAAATCCCAGAGCGACCTGCAGACAGACATAGATCTGTGGCATCTAGACAGGCACCAGAAGGCAGAAAGGAAAATGTGCTTTTTACTGTGCGTGTAAGATGGTGACTTTGTCTTCACTATATTTAGTCTATTTGTAGAAATAAATGTGCGCTTCCCCTGTGCAGATACAGCCACGGGAAAAATGAAGAGACAACAGCACAATTTTCGCGACATTTTCCAACTTGAGGCTTCCAGCCGTCCAGTCACCTGGTCTGGGGGGGTCTGTGGCTCAGCGGCCTAAGCCTTTGTGATCATCATCATCATCATCATCATCATCATGAAATAAAGATGTCCAGGGACACGTGGAAATCGGCAGAATCAGGACGTGTGTGTCGGACATGTGGGATTATCTACAGCAGCAGAGCAAAGTGTGACAGCAGCTGGTTGACACTGACCCCCCAGAGACACTGACCCCCCAGAGACACTGACCCCCCAGAGACACTAACCCCCCAGAGACACTGACCCCACAGGCACCTCAGGAAAGCTGCCAGAGGCCTTCATGCCCTCCCCAGGAAGGAGAAAATCAACAGATTTCTTTGCCATAAAAAATGCAGCTTCTGTAAAATTGCAGCCAGTCTGTAGCTGAGGGGATTTTCCCAGCGCTGACGGGACCTTCAGCGTGATTAGTGACCTTGGGCCTGGCTTTGATTCTGTTTGGCATTCCCTGACCCCCCCCCACAACACCCCCACGTCTCCTGTTTCAGTGTGTTTCCGGTGCAGCCCTAGTCAGAGACCGACAGTCTGGCAGCTACCTCAGGCTTCCCTTTGCTTCTGCCAGGGATCCTTCTGGAAAAGCGGACTGGAGCCAGCATGCAACTATCATACACACTTCATACCTTCCAGTCACAGTTACGGAGAATTGGCCCTGAATCCTCAGCGTCGGTTTGTGGGCATCACTGCCCTGGCGGTGGCTCGTCTCGGCAGGCCTCGTCTCGGCAGGCCTCCGTCCAGCGACACCTCACTGCCTCCGCAGCCACCACGGTGGTCATGCTTAAGCCTGCATCCTGTGTCTTATGACATCGTACATAAGGTATGGTAGAGCGCCATCTGCGGCCCATAATGCATCTGGGCGTGGAGCAGGATGGGGTCTGTCATGTGACAGGCAGTCAGGGA